TATATAAATAGAGTTTACAGTGTTTATAAATTAATAAATGTTGATATTTATATCTAATTATCATAAGAAAAACGGCAACTATCTTTTAAATTTGTGTATACTTGTTAAGAAGCATTTTCATTTTGTTTTCATCACAATAAAAGAACATTAGTAATGTTGTGTTTTACTTTGATTGTATTGATACAGTTGGTTTTGTTCTTCTGTTGTAGATCATCACAAGAAAACTACAAAATTATACTAGAATGTAACATAATAGATTGAATTAGTTGATTATGTCACAGAAAATCCAGTATTTTTTAGTAAATTTTATTTATTGATTAACAAATGAGACAAACTCACTGTCAAAATTAAACAAGAATCCAGTATTAAAGAAATTGCAAGTACACACTTATTTATACAAATTTATTGTTTTGCATTTTAGTGCTTCAAATAGATCCTTAAGATATTGATACATAAGTTAAATCTATCTAATGAGGTAACTGATTACCATGCATGAAATGAAAAGTAGGACCACACCTATATTTGAACCATAATTTATTCTGTGATATGAAACATGAAAAAGTTAATTCTAAAGCAGTGAATGGGAAGGAATATGTAAACAAACTGGCTGCAGCAATTCAGGAGATTGGATTATTAAGCTTAAAAATAATGACCAAAGTCAAAGTTAATTCTTCTGGTAAGCAAAAAAAAAACCTAGATTCAAGATTAATCACACCAGAATAAGAATATGGTCTACGCAATTTAAAAGAACAGTATTTCAGAAATCTTTGAACTCTCTCTAACTTTTTGATACATGCATTTGCATAGCTTTGTTGCATATAAGATCTATTTGCAAATTAAAAGACAACTTTCTGTGAAAAACCATACTTAGATCTGTAACATTATTGACTCTCTGGATCAAAATATTCTCTAAATTAAGTACCATCGACTCAAAAGGATCTATAAAACTGGATCACCCGATATTTAAATATATATACATGGGACCAAATGTGAAAAACGTCCTTTTTTATTGTAATAATTGTAATATATATATTGGAATATTATTAAAACATAAAGTTAGGTTAGAATTGACGTGTAAGGTTGTCCGATATTGATAACTCGATTACCGCAAAGCCGAGATATACAACAAAAAACAAGATGTTATTTGGTGACTTTTCTTTTTCTAGTAACTTTCTTGGTGTGAATCTGTCTTTTTGGTTTACTCCTCCTGGTTAAAAAACAGGGTATAGTGTAATAAGCCGGAACCATGTTTACGGAGATGAAATTTATATCAATGAATTCTGCTTCACTTACTTATGATTGTGCAATGACTTTTATGCGGTGCAAGACGTTATTTTTTATGTAATTTCCATTTAAAATATGCCCGATTTTTAAAAGCCACCGCCATAATTGGCCATTATTTACCATGAAACAACATTGAAACAACAAGAAATGACAGGAGGGACTTATCGTAGAAATGAAATCCAACGTTGCCAGTAATTTTAATGATAATGAGCTGTCACATTATGTCATATGTCTTTTAAATTTTATAAACAAGGTTGTTTAATCAATCTGTTTAAATTTTATTTTGATAAACTTTATTGGTGTTTTTCTTAAATATTCACACCCTTGTTTTGTTTCTGTATAAATAAAGGTAATATCATTAGTAGTACAATGCCTGTTACGTGTAGACATGTAGGGAAAATATATTCAAGTCAGAGCAATTTAATCGTCATCTTAAAGAACAACACAAAATTAAACTCTGAAGTGATTGCATATGATATAAATGTAAAATCATTTAAATGTTTGGAGAAGTGCAATATTTCTTTTACGCTTCAGAGGGAATTGGTAAACCATTTAATAAATGAGCACAACTTTCAGATGGAAGAGGAAACAAGCCAGTTTGATTCCATAAATGGTAAACACAATTAACATGCTATATAGATACTTTACTTTACATCGACTTTTTTTAGAATTCCAAATGTGGTTAAGGGAGCTACAAAATCTCAATGATGTCGAGTACATTAAACCTTGTGGAACAACTTTAACATATAATCAAAACAGTGCAGTATATTATATCTGTAACAGAAGTGGTTAGTATCAGTAATTACTTATTTAGTAATGTGCAAATATTGAGTATTGTGTTTCATTACTATAAGGTATATTATTTGTAATTTCAGGAAAAACCCGTGACTTTTCTTCTTCCAGTAAAATAATTAAAAATAAAATATGTGGATTCAAAAAGATAGGCTTTTCCTGTGCAAGTCAAATAAAGCTTATTATAAATAAGAACTCCTCAGTATCAATGACTTTTTTAAAAACTCATTATGGACATGATTTTGATATTAAACACTTGAGGTTACCGAAAGAAGATAAAATAAACATTGCTCAGAAACTTACTCTTGGTATTAATATGACAAAGTAAGTTGCTATTTGATGTAATTATATATTTATTTTATTGTTAATTATAATTATATTTACATGTTAAACTTCACCTATCTCATACTGCAATTTACCATCATATGAGATGAATAGCTATCTATCTATTTTAGAATTTTGGATACATATAGAGAAAATTTTGATGAACAGAAATTGAAAAGGGCTGATTTGTTGACAAGAAAGGATATTCGAAATACTAAATCTTCATACAATATCCACCTTCAAGAAGGATTTTGACATTTAGAAGGTAATGCATATTTTTAATTACTTTAAGTTTGTTTTGCTACCACTATTAAATTGAAAAAATGTTGTGATGTTCCAATGATCTTAAAAACTGTTATAAAAAATACCTTTTCACATACAATCTATTTGTATGTATTCTATTTATTTTGATATTTTATCTATATTTTTTATTTGTTTCAGACGCTATTAGTGTTGACATGTATGTGAAAGAGTGCAATCTATCAGACAGTAATCCAGTGATATTTTATAAACCGCAAAACACAAAAGATGATTTTTACAATTTAAGACATTAAGATTTTTATTATTTATAACTGGGAATAAGCCACAATTAAAGATAAAAATACGTTTATTGACGTTTCAATATTGTTTATTGTCGTCCCAGGAGCGCAACTCAACAATATTGGCAATATCATTTTAAAGTCGTCTACTTTAAATGCCATAATGTATGTCTGAATTGTCAATATAAATGAGTCAGATAAAATTAAATAATTAGAAGAATTTTTTCACTATGTAACAAAAAACAAAATTTGTTTAATTTAATGTTTGTATTTTGAGAACGATTTCCGAATTGGAAATTGAAACGTCAATAAACGTATTTTTATCTTTAATTGTGGCTTATTCCCAGTTATAAATAATAATTAATTTACAATGCCACAAGAAAATAGCTTCAGAACAATATTAAGATTTTTGTATAATTATAATGAATAATTCACAAAAAAACATGCTGATGCAATTTGGTAATAATGTTATTGCTATAGATAGTACCCACGGTCTAAACTCATACGATTTTGAGTTGACTACCGCTTTGGTTGTTGATGACTGGGGTGAAGGTTTCCCAGGGGCATGTATGTTGACCAACAGAAAAGATAGTCATATTTTGCAGTATTTTATCAAAAATTAAAAGAACAAATAGGGATCTTAAATCCTAAGTCATTCATGACCGATGTTACAAATGTTTTTTATAACCCTTGGAAACAAGTCATGGGAGATGTACCGAGCCAATTATATTGTGCTTGGCATGTAGACCGCGCATGGCAGTCAAATTTTAATAAAATTATTGATCCTTCTATTAGACAAAATGTGTATCATGTGCTTAAAGTTTTACAAACCCTAATTGATAAAGATGAATTCCACAAAATATTGTCAACTTTATTAACATCGCTTCTTGAAGACCCTAAGACCTATAATTTTGGATTATATTTCCAAAACAATTATGCACATATATATCAAAAGTGGGCCTACTGTTATCGCCAAAATACCGGAATTAATACAAATATGCGTTTGGAAAGCATGCATAAAGTTATTAAGTATTTATATTTAGGAGGTAAAAAAATAAAGAGGTTAGATAAAGGTCTTTTTGCTTTAAATAAATACATCCGAGACAAAATTGTTGATCGTATTATAAAGAAAATTAAAGGAAAAAATTCTATACACGTTCAAAATATTCATAATCGACACAGATCTGCTGTTACAGCATTATTTCAAATAACTCAACATGATAGTGATAATTGGGCTGTTGTAACTCAAGCAAGTCTTAGTTCAAAGACTGAATTAAATACCTATATAGTATCCAAAACGACTCTTGCAGGTCCATGTTGCTATTTATTATGTTCAATATGTCATATTTGTGTTCATTCATTTGTGTGTTCATGTCCAGATTTTTTTTATTCATAACACAATTTGCAAGCACATACATGGTGTTATTTTACAAAACAGAAATTCTACTGACAATATAATAGACGACGAGATAGATGTTGTTAATGCTAAAACTGTTAAAGCTAAAACTAAATGTTAAAGCTACAAAATGTTATGGTACTAACAAATAAACTACAAGATAATATTAAACATGTACAAAACACAGACATTTTAAAACGTGTCGAAAAAACTTTAAAAGGGGAAAACATGTTAATTGAGTCTGATTTTAATCAAGTAGAAAAATTCGATGTTAGAAAAAATAAAGAACCGGCAAATAAGAATATAGAAAAACAAATGTCATTTCATTCAACAAAAAAAAGAAAAATAACTAATAAACACTTAAGTAAGCCTAATTTAACTGAAACTGAGACATTAAAAAACTGTTTTTTAACATCAAATGTAGAATTTATTTCACAAACGTCAAGGATCACACAAGGATCACAATTATTTATGAATATAGCAACACTCCCAAACCAGGTAATATCAATATAGTGTCCGATGTTGAAGATATTATCAATGAGATATCATAACACCAAAAGCGTAAATGCAATTTAATTATATATGGCCTTGATGAACCAGATTATAGTGAAGTCTCGGATATCAGATGTAATACTGGTAGAAACAAAGTTGCGGAACTACTCATCCTAGGTAATTCCAACATTGATGGAAATACTATTAAACTGTTTAGATTTTGTAAATTTGTACCCGAAAAGAAACGTCCTGTAAAAATTACATTAAATAATGAATCGGAAGTTATTTTTGCTATTAAAAACGCAAAGAAAATCAAGAACAAACGATCATTGACTATTTCATTTGATAGTACACCAAAACAAGTGGAATATTATAAAAAAAGTAAAGTCGCTTTGTTAGATAGATTTGATTTTTTTGTAAATGCGTAGAAATCAGTCTTCAATATTATTTTTGTATAAGCTATTAAATGTAGGTTGACTGACCTAATCTACTATCATAAATCGATATCTGTGTTCTACGGGTAACAGCTCGATATAATAATACATTTGTGTGTAAAAGATCTTACACGAATATAATGTTTAAAGCATCAATCAACTTAATGTGCAGAAATGCAAACAAACTTTCCAATACCTAATTGTGATATTTTCTGTTGTAGTGCTAATGAAATAAAAAACAAGTGTCGAGCTCTTATCTAATATATTTCATATTTTAATATTTTGTTTTCTTTAGGTATAACGTATATTTGTTTCTTTTTTGTACTTATTTGTTAGCATGATAATTGTTTATTATTGAATTGTAAAATTGCTCTGTAAATGGGTAACTGTTGGGCAATAAACGCTATTATTATTATTATCCCAGAATTAAGCCATGCGGCTCACACTCCCTCTAAAGGGAAAATTTACTCATCCCAGATACCTAGGGTATCAAAAGGATTGAGCTCTCGGGGGATTCTGTCCGTGTTATCTAGGTGATTTCCTAGTCCTAGGTGACCTGGTAGATTGGAGTATCTCTGTATTTGGTAATCTTTTCGGTGTACTTGATACGCAGATTATTGTTGGGTATCGCCACATTAATCAAGTTTGTGGTTTGTCTAGTTTGTTTATTAACTAATATGAGATCTGGTCTATTGTGTGCCATTGTTTGGTCTGTGAGTACAGTCCTGTCCCAGTATAGCTTATAGTTATTATTATAAATATTTATTTGTTACATTCTAATTTGTTCAATAAAATAATTAGTCTTTCAAGTATTTTGTATTTTTTATCCATTTAAAAAACAATGCTAGGTATATGTAATGAACCGTATTCATTAACAGTCAATACTATATTCTACATTAAAGTTGATAAATTCATTATGTTTATTATTAACAAAAATATTTATATTATTAATAATTTTAATTAGTGGAATTTCATTTATTGTAATTACCACAATATAAAATTTACTACTACCGATGATTTAAATTTGCCGTTGCCATGTGTCAATCGCACACTTGGCAACGTCGGATTTCAATTCTACGATTAGTCGCTCCTAATTTTTCGATGCACACCACATAAACAACACTGGTTCCCTCTAAAACATGGCGGAACGTCTGCGCGAAGGAGATGCGCGTACTTAATGTTCCATGGAGAGTGGGCATTCTGATTGTTCTGTTCCAACACTGCTAAACCGAAATTTTTTGTTTCACGTTTGACACTTGCGGTTATAATCAGCTGTCAGATTCAGCTTCAACTTTCGGGCACTTTCGGCACAGTTTCGGTAAACTCAACCGGATAAATTTTCTAGAGCCCAAAAAAGAATAAGAAGAAGAAGAGGATTGAGGTTATATATTTTGAAAGTTCTATAGATTCAAAAACTGTTCAGTTTAAGGTGTTTTTTTTTAGAAAATTCAACATAATATAAATGTAAGTAATATGTGACAAAGAATCTACAGATCCTGTAATTTATTGAATTTCCTGTTAAATTCATTTGCTTTCTAAAATTATTTTTTAATTCAAAAAATAATAAATTGCTAAGTGCAAACAGTTAAGATAATTCGATTGATATCAGATATACAAAATATAAGTGAATTATAAATATAGTAATCAGAAGAAATTCCAAGAGACTGTAAAAATCAAGTATATTTATGCCCAATCCACAAGAAGGGACTCAAGCTCACTTATAAAAACTACATAGACATATTCTTACTCCACAAGGAAACTAAATTCCTGTAGTTGGCTGTATACCATGTATCACAAAAAATTTATTTAAAAATTCCTTTATAAAGGCATAATAATAAAAACCCTATCAGGTTACATTAGGGAATGTTTTCGGAACAACTATTCCATTATCAGCGCTATCTGAATGTACATGTTTAATGCCACTAAATATATGGGTAAAATCCGTTTAAATGTTGTATGATTAACTTTGAGTTACATTTTTGATAATAAAAAATTAGGATGTTTAAGTTGCTATCAACAAGTCCTCACAGACACTTCGTCTAAGGACTAGCAATCCCAGTGGAGTCTTACATTGCTATGTAATCAATTTCTATTGTAACTTAAACATACTAATTTTTAATTATCAAAAATGTAACTCAAACTAATTACTATTTAAATGGTAATAAGCCACAATTAAAGGTTAAAGTAAGTTTATTGACATTTCAATTTCACTTTTGAAATCTTTCTTAAAATACAAATATTAGTAAATTAAACAAATTTTGTTTTTTTTTGTTACTTGGTGATAAAATTCTTCTAATAATTTAATTTTATCTGAGTCATTTATATTGACAATTCAGACATACATTATACATTTTAAAGTAGACAACTTTAAAATGATATTCAATTACATGAACTCAACTTTAACTTGAGCATATCCATCAGAGAAATCATAGCATGTAATTCGTCTTTAAAAGACAACCACATGCCATGATAACAGTAACATTCTGTTGTTAGTGATTCCATAGTAAATCATGAGAGAAAAATCAGGAAAAAAACCTCATAATACTATCCCAACATAGTAAGTATTTGGTCCTACATTTAGTTTACTCTCAATACTCACCAAATTCTGATTTTATATGTTGGTTATTAAAAAACATAAATGATGTATCCTCAACATGTTACTGACTTACTAATAATGGTATTTTCTTTTTAATAACTTCCTCTTTTTTATATGGGCAACCAGATCCTACTACATCCTGCAGAGGAATTTGCGAATTTGGTTTTTCTCTTTTACCATCTGTTTCTTTTAGGACTAAGTATACTTGAATCATTCCATTTAACCTTATGTTCATTATCCCATGCATGTTTACATAATATAAGATTGATGTTCACTTATTCTAACATTTAATGACTTACATATACATATTATATATATATATATATATATATATATATATATATATATATATATATATATATATATATATATACTGATAATTTTATAGCTGAATTAAAGAAGTTTCTAGACTAAAGGTTTTTGAATACCAAAATAAAATTTTGTCATTGTTATCAAAATGTTTTATTCAATATGAAATTGTTTTGGAGCTATTTTCTTTTGGCATCTTAAAGTAGTTCCTATTTTAACGGAAATAAGCCACAATTGCAGTTTAAAATAAGTTTACGTTTCAATTTCCACTTCGGAAATCCTTCTCAAAATGTAAACATTTAATTCATTAATATTTGTATTTTGAGAACGATTTCCGAAGTGGAAATTGAAATGTCAATAAACTTATTTAAACTTCAATTGTGGCTTATTCCCTTTAAAATAGGAATTGTAATCATGTAACTGAATTAATACAATATGGATTCAATGCACATACATTGACTGCTTAAGATATAATTTGAAGTTTTGAAATGCTTTTTCACCTTAAATTGAAATTATTTATTTTTAGATGGAAATGGATCTTGACTTAGACGATATAAATTTTGGGGATAAAGTGAAAGACTTCCTTGCCCATAAGATTAATGAAATTAAGATTAAAAATGCCTGCATTGCAAAGAAAATCAATGAGAGAAAAGCACATATAACACAAATGTTGGAGTTAAGTAACACATTGAAAACTAAAAATGATGTAATAACCTTCAGGTGGAAGAAATGTTTTAATAATAGCTATGTTATCTGCTATAGTATACATCAGGATTTCACCAAGTAAGTGATGTGGTTTATTAGTATATTTCTTTATGGTCCATAATTTATATTCTGAGACCCTTTATCCAATGGGCAGATTTAGACTTGTTGTTATCCGTTCTAAGACTACCTGTCTTTGTACCAGTACCTTTCAAACCACACATTTTTCAGTTATTCAGACAAGTTATTGTCCAAAACTTTTGGTCTGGTGTCAGTGCGCACGAAGACAACAATACGAATATACTTAGTATTTTTAGGAAATAAAAATATATTGAGGGTTTTATACACGAGAATATTTGAATGTTTGCAGATCTTCTGGAGTATTTATTTATTTATTTATTTATTTATTAACGGGATACCACCCAATTTAATATATACACAAAGTATTACAAGTATTATCTAGTGATACAATAATTATAAAGATATAGTAAATATGTATGAAAAGAATTGGCGATGCAGCTATATAGAAAAAAAAACAAATATTAAAATTATATAAAGCACATAGCAAATATAAATCACATAAAATTACAAATTTTTTTTTAACACATTCTACAGACATTTTCCGAAGCGCACAGCAACAAATCAAAGTCTATTCTATTTCCATTTAGAATGATTCTACTCAGTAGAGAATGCCTACCAAAGTTAGAGCGATGAAATTTAATTGCAAAATTTTGAGATGTTCTAGTAACTCTAGAGGGAACATTAAAGTCAATTAGAGACAGTAGATCATTGCAATTAATTTTTGAATTCAGTAGTTTATGAAGAAACACAACATCAGCATACATCTGTTTGGAAGATAGCCTAGGAAGGTTTAATGTATTTGTAATTTCTGAGTAGGAATGGTCGCTTAAAGGTTTGTGTAATTTAAAACTTAAGTACCTAATGAATTTATTTTGGACTTTTTCAAGCTTGGCTATATGGACTTCATAAGTGGGTGACCAAACAACTGAGAAATACTCAAGAACAGATCTAACTAGGGAAATGTAAATCAGTCTGATGGAATTAATATTATGCAAACATCTAGAGGTTCTAATAATGAAGCCCAACATTTTAAATGCCTGGTTATTCACATAATCAAAATGAGCGCAAAAATTTAGTTTGGAATCTAATTGAATACCTAGATCTCTTACAGTTGAGACAGCCTTCAGTGGTTCTTCAGCTAATTTGTAATTATAAGAGAGGTTGTTAATTCTTCTACAGAAACTAATAAAGTGACATTTTCCAACATTAATGCTCATTTGGTTCCAATTGCACCATGCCATAATTTTGTTAATATCAATTTGGAGTTTTTCACAATCTGAGATGTTTTCGATAATTCTATAGATTTTTAAATCATCAGCAAATAGCAAAACTTTAGAGTTAATTTGAGATTTAATGTCATTAACAAATATATTAAAAAGGAAAGGCTCTAAGTGGCTTCCTTGTAGAACATCAGATGTTACGGAGATCTCACTAGATTGAAAGTGTTTAATTTTAACAAGTTGTATTCTGCTAATTAGGTAACTACATAACCAGTTATACAGATTGCCTGTAAATCCAATAGTTTTAAGCTTGTTACACAACAATTTATGATTCACAGTGTCAAATGCTTAGGAGAAATCTGTATAAATAGCATCCACCTGTAGTCTCCTTTCCAAAGCATCAGATATGTATTGCGTGAAAAGTAAAAGATTTGTCTAAGTTGATCTACCTCAAAGAAAACCATGTTGCTCTTCAAAGGTGTTTTAATAGACTCACATATTATACTCTCTTGTATTTTAGGAATAGAAGAAAGAATGCTTATTGGTCTATAGTTAGCTATGTTACTCCTGTCACCTGATTTATGAATAGGAACAATAAAACTAGATTTCCACAAGCTTGGACAAATACCTGAATCAAGTGAATGAGAAAACAGAAAATGTAAGGGATGTGTTAAAGTACATCTACATTTTTTTAATAGTATGGGTGGAATTCCATCTGGCCCAGAGCCCTTATAAATGTCTAAATTGGCTAATTTTTTAAATATGATTTCAATAGATACATTACAAGAATTTAGACTCACTGTTTTCTCATACTCTAAGATGGGCTGTATTAAATCATCATCATTTGCTCTGTAAATATTTTGACAGCATTGCGCAAAGCTATTAACAATATCCGCACCATTATTAAGCATTGTGTTTCCAAAAAACATTGTGTTTGGTAGGCCATTATTTTTGCGTTTGCTGTTAACAAAATTCCAAAAGTGCTTTACATTTGAACTAATTCTAGATTCAGTTTGACTTATATAAATTTCATGACATGACCTGCTTAGTTCTTTGCATTTGGTTCTCAAGGAAGAGAAAAGTAGATAATCGTCCGAAGAATTTGTTTGTTTATATATCTTAGGAGCAATTTTTTTCCTAAATATTAATGATTTTAGGTCATTAGTCATCCAACGAGGAAATTTGGGATTTTTTAATCTTGTATGTGGTATTGAACAATTGACACCAAACTGCAATATGGAGTAGAACAGTTCCGTGGCTTCGTTAATATCTCTGCAAATACCTAAAACGTTCTCCCAGGAGATACTAGTAAGATACATATTAAGAGCAACATAGTCTCCTCTTCTAAAATTGAAGGCAAAACTATTATATTGAATCTCGGGCATATTATCTTTTATAGCTAAAGAAATTGATAACGCAGGATGATAACGATCACAAGGCAATAAATAATCATTAGCAATTTCAACTGTTACATTTTCATTATCATTTGCAAAAACTAGGTCAAGTAAAACTCCGTTGCAATTTGTGATTTGATTGAGCTGAAATAGGTTACGAAATGCAAAAGTATCAACTAAAGTATCAGTAGCAGTGTTACTATTATTACTAAAGACACCTCTTTCATCATGGTACCATTCGCTGTTTGGCAGATTGTAGTCTCCTGTTAGAATGAACTTGTGTTCAGGAAAATTGTTACAGGCAGATTCTATACTAATACAATGATTCTCATATCTTATTAAGGCTGAATTAGGCGGAAGATAAACTGTACCAAATATATAGCATTGATTCAGAGTGCAAACTTCGACAAACAGTTCCTTCAAGTGAACATGTGGTAATAGAATAGACCTCAATGAGTAACATTTTAACTGCAATAAGGACACCACCTCCAATTACTTTAACACTAGTTAATGAAGAGCGGTCCTTTCGATATATATTAAAATCTATAAGTCCCAATTCGTCACTACTGATACCATCACACAACCACGACTCAGTAAATATAAGCACATCATAGTCAGTTGTAGCAGCACTTTCTTCAAGAGCACCAAGCTTAGTTCTAATTCCTCTAACATTCTTATAATATACTGTTAGTTCATTAGACACAATGTGGGAGGTACCCCTGGAATTCAGTTTTTTTTCTGGATTACTATTTTTGGTACGCCACGAATGTACCTAATGGTAAGATTTTCTTCACCTTTTGAAACCCTATCTGCCAAATTAGTACGAAGTTCACTAAGGTATTTTCTCTGTAGATAGGTGGAATCGGAGTTAATCTTAATATTGGATGCAACAAGTTTATTGTTATTTTTTAAAATTGATAGTGCTACATTCTTATTTTCAAGGACTACTTTAAGTGGACGTGACATATTATTCTTGATATTACCAAGTCTAATGCCTTTTTTAACTTGAATATTGGGATTGATCACGCTTAAAGTTTGTTTAACTTTCTTCATATCTTCTTCAATTCTTGCTGGTGCTGTGCTAGAGTTGGTTTCATGGAGGTTATAAATAATAATATTATTTTCACGGAATTTACTTTCCTCCACTTCCTGGATGATGGTGTCAAGATTTGTGGCTTTGTTATCTCTAGGCAGTTCTAGTGAGCTAATTTTATCAATAAGTTGTTCCACCTTTTGTTCAAGAGAACTGATTTGCTTCTTTATCATAGGAATCATTTTAATACCCTCCTCACAGGATTCGCAAAAAAGTTTAAGGACTCTTCTACCCTTCAACTCCAACACCCTGATTTCTGATGCTGTCAGATTTGCACATTGATGATGAATATTCTGATTGCAACCATCACAAACCTAATATTCACCACCCTTGACATCCAACAAACATTTTGTGCATGACATATTTAAAAATTTTAAAACTTTTTAGATCAAGTACTGGCCTATCTTCTAAATATATTATTTGTAGAAGTACTGATAACTTTTTATGAAGAGTACTTAAGTTTTTGTTGAACTCAATTAGGAGAATATGTGCTTCTAATTGCAAATAAATGCAATTTCTGGAACATTCACTAATAAATATGAAAAATAATTTACAGATTAATAGGGTAGATTAATAGATTAATATAACTTTTACGGGTTTTTTGATACCAAACAACACATTAACCACTAATGAATATCACTTAAATTGTGCATCATTAACAGATCAGAAAAATATGTGCTTACGCCAGTAAATATGGGTAAAAATGATGAGTAGAAGCTAGGAGTACTGTATCGTCCGCATATCGCAAATTATTTATGAAGTCACTGTTCATAATTATTCCTTCTTGTTTTTCAGAAAGTGCATTTCTGAACATTCTTTTGGAGTAAACGGCGATGTGATTCCAAACAGTCTACTAAAACTTATGTTTCATTCCAATACAAATTTGCAATTATGCGAACGTCTCTGCCATCCAAACCAATGTTTCTTAGAACTTTGATTAATATAGAGTACTTAATACGATCAAATGCCTTTCGGAAGTCAATAAAAAAATATATCATGGGCGTACAACAGTACGCCCAACGAAAATATGCAATCCACCATTTTGTTGGCCGCCATTTTGGATTTTCTATAATGAACTCTTTTCTACTAGTCTTTCTAAACTAAACTTTCATTTGATACCCATATTGAAGTAGTGAAAAAATATGTAATCCGCTATTGTGTAGCGGCGTCCATCTTGGATATACTGAATGTAGGTATGTAGAGTATGTATAGTCGGTTCGCTAATCTCAGACACAAGTATCTAGTATTTCAGTAATTATTTTATTGCGAAAGTTAGTTACATTTTAACAGACTAGAAGTAGATGACAATTACTATATTTACAATCAAGCACACATGCTCATAGCCAATATTAAGAGTAAACAGACATAAATCTTACTCCAATCAATCATTATTTATTTACACCATAATATAATTACACAACAGACAACGGAAGATTTGACCAATTATTTAAAGGTAAATGCTCCAAATATACATTTCTACTTCAAGAAGTTAAAGGTTACGGAGTACCAAGCAGGCTTTAAAGTTTCATATCCATTGGATTATAAAAATGAAGTTCTCAATCCCAGTATTTGGCCTGAAGGTTCAATGGTTCGTCGTTTTGACTTCAAGTATAAGAATTGTACTAACCGCAGTTAACAACAAAACCAGAAATAATTGTTACAAATCCGGCTTAGGCAAACTAGATACTACAAATAATTTTAAAGGCAATACCAATCAACTAAAAATCGTATGTATTAACTCTGAATCTATTGTAAACAAAATAAATTGTATCGAAATATTACTTAAAACTAAAAGTCTGGATTTACTATAAATAACCGAATTATGGTGTAATGACAATAATATAAATTCTTTTTATCTTCCTAATGCTCCCTTGTAATGATTCGTAATACTTTTTTGATTATTTTTTAGGTTATTACATTTTTATATTTATAGAAATATACTCGTACAATAGTAACTTCTTGATTTTTTTAGTTTTAGTCGAATATCGTTTATCGAATATCGAATCGAATATCGAATATCGCTTTAAAGGAAAAATGTAATTTGAATAGGTTTCCAAGACATTAACAATCGATTTCAACATAAAGTTTCTTGTTGTCGATCACAAACATTTGTCACCCAAAGAGAATTGGAATTTTTAGAGTTTGTGAAATTTCCGTGGCAATTACAATGGCTTTGTTATTTTTCGATTATATTACGAAAGATAATTTATTGGGAAATTCCACGAAGAACAAATTATATCTTGTATCAACACAAGCCAAAAAGAATCGGTGTATTATTGGTCTATCAATGCCAACATCAGAATAAACAAAAAAGTATTTTCATCTGTGGTTCCATCAATACGATTTTCACCATTACTTTGCGTTGTGCGATGTATTTGCAACCTTTTGTAAATCAAAAATAATTACACCATTTACAATGTCAGCCGGCCCTGCATGTAATTATTTTTTCAGTGCAATATTTCATATTTATTGAAAGTCAACATAAATGCTCAATTTTATTTAAGAATTTATATTGTGTGATATGCCCACTGACAATTAGTTTTCTGGTTGCTTAACTGTCATTGGCACTCATTGGCGGCTTGCCCACGCAACTTCAAAGGAGTGTCGCTTCTCTGTGTTCGTTAGTTCTCTGACTGGAGTGAGGAAGCGCAGTGTGGTGACTAGGGCAGGGGACGCAATGTACGTGCAATGGATATATTAGAGAGTTAAAGTGCAGGTGACACGTAAACGTTAACACTAACGTAAACGTAAAGATATTACGTTTACGGCCACTATACGTTTTAACTGTGAAGTGTAAAACGGTAAAACGTTAACGTCTACCGTGTGTTTCTAACCTTACTTTTACTCAAATTTGTTGTGGATTATTTACAAATTTGATAGACAGTGTCCTTTTATATTTTCTTCCTGGTTTGGGTAGTTTTTTTATGAAATATTTTGATTGCTTTTACATCAGAATGGAATATGTCTTTAATATTTGAATGTTTATGGAATCTGATTTCGAGGATGATGACACGGACGATGCTGTACTTCTACATGTATTTGGTAATAATTTATTGGAAAATTGGTTTCCGTCATGTTTTCTTTCGATTTTTTCACTATTTTTAGGTTACAATAATACAAACAAAAGATGAATCTTTGGTTAAAATCACAAAACAACAAAAAGCTTTTAATTTTCCGAGATTTGACAGAAATTCGGTAATACTCGGAACAATTTGGATAACGTTAAGGGAATCCGTAAACGCACGCAAGATTACGAAGACCCGTTAACGCAAACGTGTGTATTCCTCTACTGCGCACGAGTAGCTGTCAAATTATACGTTAACGTTTTGCCCTGCACTTTAACTCCCTTATGATTATCGGGACAACATAGCGCCTGATTTTCGACTACCTCGCGCTCACAACGCACATTCTCAAACAAAAGAAAGGCAATATTGCGTCACAGTCTCACAGTTCTGCTTAGACTGTAATCGCTTGAACTAAATCTCCGGCTTCCTTGGACATAAAATAATTATATAAAAATATACGGTATGTCCCACATAGAGATTTGTAAAAATTCACATTTGGAATTTAGTTCAAAGCTAAATGTGATATTACAGAGAATATTGGTAAACATAAAAGCAGATTTGTTTTAATAACTTTTATCTCATCCATTTAAAACCATAATGTATTGAAAACCTTTGCAGATAAATATTATGTAGGTAACATTCTTTCAGTTTACATCGAAATCGAACTTCTAAATAAAGAGTATTGACAATTGATACGCCATTTCTTTAAACTTCAAACTACAGTGAGTCAATAATTTTAAATGAAACACACTGTATTTTATAATTTTAATCAAAAAAGAAATCAATTGTCTTTAAAATAATATCAGGATTCCCTATACCTAAAGTTAATACTTTTGGAGATAATTGTGGTTTAATGTTAAAGGTAAGATATTTATTGTTTTATTTTAGCAGGCCATGTATGAAGATGTCATAATTGTCATTATTTGTTATTGGCACTTTTACAAAGTGATAGAAATGTCTGGTTTAAAATTAAACAATGAAGATTGCGTAAATTTACTCATAATATATCTTGCACTGAAAAAAAGTAGTTTAATGTATTATCATATCTCCTTCTTCTTCAAGTGCCGTCTTCGTTCCGAAGTTTGGCTATCATCAAAGCTATGCGTATTTTTGTTGCTGCAGATCTAAACAGTTGGTAATTGGTGCAATTGTACCATTCTCTCAAGTTTTTCAACCATGAATGCCTTCTTCTTCCTATAGATCTCTTTCCCATTATCTTCCCCTGTATAATCAATTGCAGCAACTGGTATTTATCTCCCCTCATAACATGTCCCAAATATTGTAGTTTGCGCTTTTTTAACAGTAAGTATCAGCTCTTTCTCTTTCCGCACTCTCCGCAAAACCTCCACATTTGTTACTTTCTCTGTCCAGGGTATTCTTAATATTCTACGATACATCCACAACTCAAATGCTTCTATCTTTTTGGTATCGATCTTTTTTAATGTCCATGTTTCCATCCCGTAGAGGAGAACTGACATAACGTAACATCTCAAAAGGCGAATTTTAAGTTTTAGACTTAGATCTCTTCCGCAGAACACCTTTTTCAATTTAGTAAATGTGGCTCTAGCTTTCTCTATTCTGGTTCTGATTTCTTCAGAGCAATCATTATTTTCGTTGATAACAGTTCCCAGGTAATTATATCTTCTTACACGTTCGATTCTTTGATCATGCACGGTTATATCAGGGAAGTTTTGTGGTGATTTAGATATTAGCATTATTTTTGTTTTGCTTATTTTAAGTGATAATCCGTGTTCTTCACTGCATTCTACTATTTTGTTAATTAGTATTTGAAGATCTTCCCAAGTTTCTGCGATTAGTACCGTGTCATCGGCATATCTCAAGTTGTTTATTCGGATGCCATTTATCTTAATACCTATATTTTGATCCGAAAGTGCTGTGTTTATAATGTCTTCGGAGTATAGATTGAATAAGGTCGGTGAGAGTATACAACCCTGTCTTACGCCTTTCTTGATCTCGATTTCCTCCGTTGTCTCTTGCTCTATTCGGATATTTGCTTTCTGGTTATAGTAAATCTTAGAGATAATTCTAATGTCCCTTTTATCCAAGTTTTTTTCTACTAGCAGTTTCATTAAGTGATCGTGACGAACTTTATCAAACGCTTTGTTGTAATCAATGAAGCACATATATATATCTTGGTTTATATCTAGACATCTTTGGCATATGACGTTGAGTGCAAATAGTGCTTCTCTTGTTCCAAGCCCGTTCCGAAATCCGAATTGAGTATTACTAATATCTGCATCTAGTTTTCTGTTAATTCTTGAGTGGATTACTTTGATGAATACTTTTAATGTATGCCCCATTAAGCTTATAGTGCGGTAGTCAGTGCACTGTTTTGCATTTGCCTTTTTTGGTAAGGTTACGAAAGTTGAAAGTACCCATTCCTTTGGTATTTCTCCTCTTTTGTAGATGCAGTTAAAAAGGTCGAGTAGAATATTCACTGATTCGCCTTCCACAAGCTTAAGAAGTTCTCATGTGAGCCCGTCTGGACCCGGTGATTTACCATTTTTCATTATTTTTATAGCGTATAATAGTTCTTCTTTAGTTATTTCTGGTCCTTCGTCGCCTTGCAAGTTATCTATATTAGGTTCTTGTCTTTCATCGTCGAACAGTTCTTCTACATAGTTCTTCCAGGTCCTAAGCTTTTCTTGTAGATCGGCTATTATTTCACCATTTGCGTTGCATAGGAGATTGGGATGTTTTCGTTTTTGTGTACCTGTCAGTTCCTTTATCTTTTTATGTAAGTTAAAAGTGTCATGTTTGAGATGTAGTTCTTCGATTTCCTCGCATTTTCTTGTATAAAAATTTTCCTTTGCAGTTCTTATTTCTTTTCTGATTTGTTTGTTTACTTCATTATATTTTTGGCTGCATTTTCCCTTTAACTGTCTTCGCTCTTCCATGAGACCTAAAATTTTTTCTGTTATCCATTCTCGTCCTTTTTTCTGTTTCTCTTTGGTAAGCATTTTCTGGGCAGGTTTTATTATGGCGTCTTTCAAATCTTGCCACTTGTCTTCTACATGCGTGTTCTCTGTCTTTGTAGAAAGCATTCGTAAGTTATCATTGATATATTGTTTTAAATCTTCTTTAATTGTTGGATCTTGTAAGCGGCTGGTATCTATGTGATCTATTTTTGTTTTATTTGAAGGTCTTTTGAGTCTAATGTGTACCCGCGCTATCAGGGGGTTATGATCTGAAGAAACATCTGCGCCTGGATAAGCCTTAACTGATCTTATACAATTTCTGTATCGTATCTCCTAAGACTTGTTAAATGAGGATTTACTTCGCCCCAGTAATGCGAATTGTGCGACTTAACCATTCCGTTTGTTGTAACTTTTGATTCGCCTTACCATATAATATTCTTCAAAAATTCATTCTCTTCTTGACATTTTATCGTTACAAATTATATTCATTTTCTTTAAACTTTGAACTATGGTGTAAGAATATGAATGAAATTTTTATTTTTTAAAATTCGCTGAACAACGTAATGAAGCTTCGGGATAAGCTTCATAGTAACCAAGAACATTAATTGTATTATCATTATTATCAACAATACTTTGGTAAATTTTTGTTGTGTAACAACCATGATGTATTAAATTTTTAACTAATCTCTTTACAGTGTCACGGGTAGTTTGTGGACGGTCTAGATATCTTAGCAAATAAAATACATGTGTTTAGTAACAACTCTTTCACATTCATCATGTATTAAAAAGAAAATTTACGCATTCTTAATTGTTTCATTTGTGCCAATAATCACAAATAATGACAAATAGGAAATATTCACACCCGGCCTGCTGAAACAATAAATATCTTATCTTTAACATTAAACCAAAATTATCTCCAAAAGTATTAACTTTAGGTAAAGGGAACCCTAATACTGTTTGAAAGACAACTGATTTATTTTTTCATTAAAATTATTAAATACAGAGTGTTCTATTTAAAATTATTAATTACTGTAGTTAATGTTACCTATTCTTTGTGTGCAAAAGTTTTCAAGACAATATATTTGTAAATTGATGAGCTATTAACATTGAAAAGTTTGTCTCTACTTACCTGTTTTTTTTTTCACACCATTTTTTAAAAAGATGAATAACTCAAAAAATATGAAGTTTTGACCTATGGTACCTTTTACAAATTTTTTCTACAATTTTAGGCAGAATCTAAAAATGCAGTAATATACAGGGTGTTCTATTTAAAATAATTAAATTTCTGTTCACCTCCGGTTAACTGGAAGTGACATGTCTGTTAAATTATTTTCTTTAAGTTCGTCATATTAGCGGCACCAGAAAATAGGAGTAGAGGTAGACCAAGACTGAGAAAGAGGTGTGGTGTGGATGAGGAAGATCGGCGCAACAAACTGCCAACGGTTGGCGATGATCAGAACCACTGCGCAAGGTAGAGGCTCAACTAGGGCTGTAGCACTACTGATGATGGTGATGATGATGATGAAGTTTGTCATAATTTGTAGTTCCTATAAACCAATTTTCATAAATATCGTATAAGTAGTGTTCGATATATAGATAGTGTAAGCTCGTCGTGAAACATCTTTTATGGGTGTATTGAGGGCAACAGCTTCAAGAATTATCGAAAGAATTTTACAGCAATTGTATCATGAAGCAGACAGTACATTAAAATGTATCAAACAAATGATAAAATGGTCCAAGTTGCGAATAATGCGAATTGATTCTCATGGATGTGCAGATGCAAAAAATATATGGTTCACAAAAATAATTTTTTGCATTAAATATCCAAAAAATATCTTGTTACTTGTTCTTTTTATCTCTTTCATGATTGGCCTTTTCTCTCTTCTGTGTCCTTTTATCAATCATTCTCTTCATTTAAAATTCCCTATTATAGTTTTCGTTAATATTTTTTATTGGTCTCCATAATTGATTTATGTTTGGATATTTCCTCAATAAGTAAAAGTTCCTCTTTTTGTGAAATTTAAAGAATCTCTTTTAATACCGAAATAACTTATAACAATTAACAACTTTATACACAAATTAATGTACAATAGGAATTAAGGTTATGTCGACAAAAACAAAGCAAAATTGATAGAAACGCAATTACTAACCTACTAATTTTTAAACCCTAAAGTTTACTTTTAATTATGAAAAGAGTTGTAGGTTTTACGAAACCGGATGTGCCAATAAATGCACCATCGTCAAGGTGAACATTAGTAAGGTTTACATTAGGTTAGGTCATGAAATCGGGCGTTAATTTTTATTCTGTACACTTCCCGTTTTAAAATAATTTCATATAATAATAATGTCTGATTTTTACAATTATCATTTCAACTATTATATTAAACTGCTACAAAAAGAGTTATTAGTAAAATATTTTAAGTTGAATTTTCATATTTATACTTTGGAAGAGATTTCTAAGTTAGCATATATTAAATCTGGCTTTACACGAAATAGTAGTCACAGTAAACAGTTGGAAGAGTCCATTTACGCGACGAAGGGTGAAAATCTATAAAAATAATAAATAAATAATAAAATTGCTTAATTCAATTTTAGGCATATGTCTTAAATTTTAAAATACAGAAAACATAGTATAAAGCTTTGCGCCAGTCTACAGTACCGAATACTGTACCATTTTTTTCTTCTAAAAATAGTTGGTGCTCCACTTCTCTAATAACTAAATATTCGGTTTAATCATTATTCTTTAATTTAAATATTTATTTATTTCAGTTAAATTCTCATTTGCACTCATAGTATAGTAACTTTAATTTATTTCTGACTATTTATAAATTATTTGTCTGTTGGTAAGTCCTATTTCCGCTTGTCATGTAAGTTTCAATTAAAAGAATTTGTTAAAAGAGAGAATTTTTCTTTATTTAAACAAGAAGTCTCGTTCAGAAACCCATTTTTACTGTTCACATAGTTTATTTCTTGGATTTTTCTTATGTATTGGACCCTTATTGTCTTGTCCCCTTTTTGGTGGGACTTCCCAACTGGTGTTCTTCACGACTACCTATCAAAGGGATGTAGCAAGCCTACAATTCTAGCTGCGACAACATCTGTATTGAAACCTGCATACATCGGAACGCTATAATTATCTCCATGTAAGAATACATTTTATCTTCTCCAGAAGTGGCTCATGTGAAACTACATTTAGCTCACCTCTAGAAGTGATAGTTACATAATTGCCGTAAATATATTTTTACATTTTTATTAATTTGTAAAACTTAGGTAAGATTTTGTTAATAAAATTAATTTCTTTATATTTAATAAATATGATTAGTTAGTGTAATCTTTTATTTGTCTCTGTCAAACTTCTCATTGTACGGTTTTCACGTAGTGTAGTTACACGACTGGGGAGACATTGTATTGTTTAACATTTTCACCCAATGATCTAGGTGGTATTTTTATTTTTAGACATTGATTGCTATTTTATTACACATTTAGAGGGTGTAAATATGGGGGTATACAAAGAACATATTGCGATGCAATGAAGGATAATGATTAATAAGAATATTTAGTTGATAGAAAAGTTAACCCCCAAATATTTTTAGAAGAAAAATAGTGAAATAACAGATGAATAATAATGAGAAATTAATTAGAATAAAATAATTATTTGAAGAAAAATAATAAATACGTAACGTTTATAACCTTTTAAGTGGTATAGTATTGGAAAAACAATTTAGAAGCCCTGTGTGATCCAGACTCAAAAATTAAGTAAGTTATGAAAATTACGTTGTGTAAACTGCAAGAAAATTATTATTATTATAGGTAAAACCTTGATTAATATAAATATGATAATAAAAATCAGAGGAAAATATTTTTAATAAATGACACAGTCAGTTATAAATCTATTTTTATTATTCCAAAAAGGCAAAACAACCTATAAACTAATTATCACAATTTTGTTAAAATTGATCAAGCTTGAGACGGATCTTTAAAACTTGTTGTTTTAATATACTTTAGGTAAATCGTTTTGTTGAAAATCTTTCATACTAATGGCGGCCAGCAGTGAAGATGGATCATTATCCGGTATGCCATACTCCAGATATCCATGTAAGGAGTAGTTAAATAATTCAAAATCATACCTGAAAAATTATATTATTATAAATATGGATTGATAACCTTTTATTAACAATTAAGAAAAGCATCAAATACGAAAGTTATAGATAATATAAAAATCTACAACTTGTGCTATATAACAGTTTTAACATGTCACAATTACCGAGAAAAATAAAAAATCGTCTTTTTTTAGGTTTTTATTTATTATTTGTTATTTCTGTAAAAGGTATTCAATTTTGATGAAACTTTTTATTTTTATTTATTTTTTTATGTCTGCTAGAGCTCATTTTCTTGTTAAACACTACTTTTTAAATAAATCAAAAAATATAGTCTTATTTAAAAAAAATTATAAAAATTGAAAAAATGCCAAAAATACTTTTTTCATTTAAATGTTTGCGATTTATTTTGATAATTTGTTTAAAATTAAAAGGAAATTAAAAAATGATTACGCCACTCTATTTTACAGGAAATATTACTAAAAAACAGTTTTTATTGGTTAACAAGGTAGTTAAATATTAGCTGTGTAATGCTTATTAGTATATGAGCCGCTGAGAGCAAAAGTGTCGTAAGTCATGTTTTTGTATAATTTGTACTTCATGTACTTGATGTAGTACTTGTACATAACTATGCAATAGCTCTAACTTCATAGGGTTACGTGTAAACGTGTGGTAACTTTCAATACTTCCTACTAGATGGCAGACAGATACTGAACTTAGGTATACAATATTATGTTAGTGTTGTGTGTAAACGTGGTGTAAGTCATTTAAGAACATAGTTAGGTTGTTGTTAACATTATTTCGTATATAAAGCATTCTTCTTGTATTTTCTGTTACAAATAAGTTTTAAATATTAATTTACTATTTTATTTTATAGTAATTATGTCATCAAATTTTCATACGACATAACACCACCAAACTAATCAAGAAGTAGTGATGGTAAGTATTTGTCATTGTTGAGTATTTGTTGCGCCAGTTTTTTTGTCGATACTTAGGCATAGGTACAGAAATTGATAACTTAGTTATATAAATGTGTGTCATTGCTGGTAAATTAGGTATTACTTGTTGTGTTCCAGATGATACCGAGGTCAACTTGGAAGTTAATGCTGCAGTTGTTTTACCCACTTTAGAATCTTCGATATGTGAAAAGGATGAAGATATTGTTGTCAAAAAGACAAAAATTCTTATTTGTGAAAAAAGGCATGTTAGAGTGCAGAAAGAAATTCTAGTAAGAATAAAATATTTGAAAATAAAGACTGCAAGTACAATAAAAAAATATGTTACGAGAAGGTTAGTGAGGCAAGTCGGAAAATTTTCTTTGACTCGTTTGGGGCTATGGGTGACTATAAAAGAATTGCGAAGGCGTAAAGGAACTAGAGGAATGCAGGCCTGTACACATAAGTATTTTTTGAACATTGAGGGGTTTAGTCAAATTGTTTGTAAGCAGTATTTTTGCAAACATTTCAAATTTCTGATGGTAGAATGACAAGAGCCTTGCAGAAAGAAAATTCTGGTAAAGTAGGGGAAGATTTAAGAGGGAAGAGTGCAAGTTCCAATGAAACTGATGAAGCGCGTATTGGGTTTGTAAAAAATCAACAATTTTCCTGCTTACACCACTATAATACGAAAACTCATAATACAAGTAGAAGATACTTAGATCCCTCTCTTAATGTTAGAAACATGTTTGCTTTATAGAAAGAAAAATGACTCGAAGATAGTCAGTGAAAACACGGACAGAAAAATATTTTCTGGGCAAAACCTACATTTTCACCATCCTAGAAAGGACACTTGTCAACAGTGTAATACGTTTAAGTTACGCATAGACGCAGTTTGACGAATCTGATAAAACAGCCTTGAGGGCCAATCATGAACTACATCTAAGGAAAGCTGAAAAGGACAGAGCTGCAGTGAAAATCGATGCATGTTTGGCTCAGTCTGATAATAGTTATCATGTAATTTAGTTCGACCTACAGAAAGCGTTGCCTTTTTACAGATTGACAACATCCATTGCCTACTACAAACGAAATTTGTATTGCTACAATTTAGGTTTGCATGACTTGCATACCCATAAAGCGTAGATATATGTATGGAGCGAAACTACGGCCCCTAGGGGATCCCAGAAAATTGCATACTGCTTAACAAAACATTTGAAATGTGAGGCAGACGGTAAAAACACCTAATAGTGTTATGGTAAAATGGTAATAGATCCTAATATCACCATTGAAGTGATAGATCACAAATTTATAGTATCTGGTTATTTATTTATGATGACCGATTCTGACTTTGGAAACATTGAATCTGTCGCTAAAAATTAATTACATTATACTCCACATGACTGGTATGAAACCATTCGTAATGCTAGGAGAAAAAATAAGTTTAACGTTCACCTAATGAAACAAGAAGATTTTAAAGATACATTACAGTTGGAAAAATCGGTACGAAGAAGTAAACTAAGATATGCCGCAACTTTGTGACTATACAGGGTGATCCTTAAGTAATTGTACAAAAAGAAACCGTAGATTCTACACTTTAAAATATTACGATTTAAGTCAAGTTGCTTTAATAAAATGTTGATATTAAGAAAGATATAGGGTGTTAAAGTGGAAAATTAAAATTTTATTTTTCGCTATAACTTTTATGTTTGTCAACATTTATGTATAAAAATTTACAACTGGGTACTATTAAATATCAGAAATTATAATTTGATGTAGCTGATAGAGGGCGCCACATATGCCACTTATGTGGCATACATTTGCACGTAACTTTTTTGCTCTTTAAGTTACCGATATTTTTAATAAAAAATATTAAAGATACGTTATTTTAACATAGTATAGAAATCAACTACATAATTCTGATTTATCGCAATTACTCCAGGCAACGAAAGAAAATTAAAGAAAAACATCAATACTTCTGAATTTTGGTATAAAATACCTTTAATAGAGTTAATAGTTAATGAATTATTAAATAAAATAAATATATCAGCAGAATAAAATAATAGGATTTGATAAATAACAGAATAATTTAATTTTACATCAAACATTTTACGTTTTGTTTTAAATTAAAGTTATAATCAAAACATTTTATTTACAAACCAAATTAAGAAATAGTTAAAGTAAATAAAATTAAACTTGTTGTCAAAGTAAGTGTTCACTATGTCCATCATTTTCTTTAATTCATTTGTCAATACATTCCATAAAATATCGTCTCATATTAAATAGCGTCATTGGTTCTGAAGAAACTGCTGCAGTATTTATTATAAGTGTTATAAGTATAATAATAAATAATTTTTTGAAATGTTTATGAATTCAATAATTATATTAATATCTCACCACAAGAGTATGTGAGATTTATTTACATTCTTTACAAAATGATTTTATTGATTTATTGGAAGAATTGTCATCAAACTTAAGACGAAATATGTGGTTTCTATAAGATGGTACACCATTACATTACAGAGAAAGCGGAGTGAGACAGTATTTAAATACTTCTTTAAACTTTCCTGAACGTTTCATTGTTCATGGTAGTCATATTCTTGCGGTGAGATATTAAAATAATTATTTAATTCATAAACATTTCAAAAAATTACTTATTATTATACTTATAACACTTATAATAAATACTGCAGCAGTTTCTTTAGAACCAATGACGCTATTTAATATGAGACGATATTTTATGGAATGTATTGACAAATGAATTAAAGAAAATGGTGGACATAGTGAACACTTACTTTGACAAAAAGTTTAATGTTATTTAGTTTAACTATTTCTTAATTTGGTTTGTAAATACAATGTTTTGATTATGACTTTAGTTTAATACAAATTAAAATAAAATGTTTGATGTAAAATCCAAATCAATTATTCTGTTATTTTATCAAATCCTAATATTAATTATCCTGCTGATATATTTATTTTATCTAATATTTCCTTAATTATTGACTTTATTAAGGTATTTTATAACAAAATTCAGAAGTATTGATGTTTTTATCCATTTTTCTTCCATTGCCTGGAGTAATTGCGTTAAATCAGAATTATGCAGTTGATTTATAAAATGCGATTATCTCGAAAACTATTGAGCTTTGAAGTTATTAACAAGTATACCTTTTTTTTGTTAAAATAATGTATCTTTAATATTTTTTATTTTAAATATCGGTAACTTATAGAACACAAAAGTTAAGTGCAAATTTATGCCACGTATATGGCATATGTGGCGCCCTCTATTAGCTATATCAAAGTATTCATCAAATTATAATTCCAGATAATAAATAGTACCCAGCTGTAAATTTTTGTATACAAATGTTTACAAACATGAAAGTTATAGCGAAAAATAAAATTTAAAATTTCCACTTTAACACCCTGTATCTTTTTTAATATCAACATTTTATTAAAGCAAGTTGGCTTAAATCGTAATATTTTAAAGTATAGAATCTGCGGTTTCTTTTTGTACAATTACTTAAGGACCACCCTGTATATTATTCGCTCCGTGCGTGACTGACGCGACACCTACCTTCTTCATCTGACAATTTTGGAGTCCCAATTTTCAGGTTAAACATATGACATATATTTGACATTGTTAAATTCATGCGAAATTGACAATTATTAATAAATTAGTTTTTTAACTATATTTTTTCAGTTTATGACATATAATTAAAAACAATAATAGTAAAAGTTATGATATAAAAGCTAAAATCATCTGCAGTTAGCTTGAAGCCTTGAGAAATATCATTCAAGGTAAATTATTTAAATTTTTTCTATTTCAATTGCATAAAAATGAAATTATGTGATATTTACTTTTTCATATTAATAGCACGAATTCATCTTTTTCTTTTCTCTAATTTATATGTAATCTTTAAGAACCTATAATAACTACACTCACTGTTTTTGCTATTATTAGCACAATTAAATACGCAACATGTAGTTGCACACATTTTTGATAAAATTTATGCGTAAAAATATTTTGTCCAATATTCCAATTTTGTCATATTTCGCCGCTACGCACGCTGGCATCGTTTCAATGTACCCCTACCATGGTCA